TAGTTTTTCGACAAAATTCAAAATGGCGGAAAAATTTCCATACCGGAAATGAAATCGGAGATATACGTTTTTTTCGTCAGGTGACCAGCTTTCCAATGATATAAGACACTTGAGTGTACGACTTACGGTCTAGGAGTTATGAGCCGTTTCGCGCAATTGGTCGCTATAGCGCCACCTATGGGCCAATCGGGCTCATAATTTGATAACCTCTCCTCGATTTTTGTACTACCATCTGACAAAGTTTCAGAGCTCTAGCCTTTACGGTTTGGGCTGCACGATGCGTTTTAGGGGAGAATAATAATAATAATAAAAATCAATACAATTACAATAGGGTTTCAGCACTTCGTGCTTGAACCCCTAAAAAATAAAAACCAACAAACATTTGTATCGTATCGGCCTTCAAAATCCTTTATCTGTTGGGCTCTAGTTTGAAACGTTTCCGTCAGAAATGGAGGGGAGAAATAAACATTACAATAGTTTAGATGCATACAGCTTCATATTTTTACAGTAAATACCACACTGTATACACTAGTAATGCAAACTCAGCCACAGAGTCTCTATATCTAAACGGCCTTCAAGCTGTGCCTCATATGTATGGCCTCAAAACGACTTCTGGTTGAACCTCAAGTCCCCTCCACCACGGGCCTCTGGACTTGATTTAGCACATTCCTGACAGTAGCTGGAACACATTTGGGTTTAGTGCGCTTGGCTGGGTTTGTGCTCTTTCAAACAGAGACCAAAATAGAAAGCTGTCTTTAGATGCATGTACAGTATCTTCTATTTACATTACTCTGCGTAGCTCACTTTATCTAGAGGATGAGAGATCTGAAGCCACTTAGCAAATGAGATTAATACAGTCCGATTCATTTTTTTTTAAAAAACAACTATGCAACAACTGCATTTTGGGGTCTGAAAACAAACGGAAACGGTTTTCAAAGTGCAAGTTTGTTGAAACGATACCGGTAAACGTCTCCAAATCTCCATGTAAACCCCAAAAATAGCGAAATCGCGATTATTCGCATCCAAAATAAAAGTTTGTGTTTACATAATATATGTGTGTGTAGTGTGTATAATTAATTTGTATATATAAATACCCACACATGGCATGTATATATTTAAGAAATATGTGCATGTATATATTTTATATATATTTATTCACAATTAATATTATATATAAACATTTGATATATTAAAACATATTTTTCTTTCATATTTTTCTATTTAAGAAATATGTGCATGTATATATTTTATATATATTTATTCACAATTAATATTATGTATAAATATTTGATATATTAAAACTAGGGCTGTGCAAAAATTAATTGCAATTAATCGCATCCAAAATAAAAGTCTGTGTTTACATAATATATTTGAGTGTGCTGTATGCAATTATTTTGTACATATAAAAACACACACATGCATGTATATATTTAAGAAAATGTGTTATTCATATATAAAATATTTATATTTATATAATATAGATTATGTATTTATAAATATATACAGAATTTAAGCGCAAATAATTCTTAAATATATACATGCATGCATAGGTATTTAAATATACAAAATAATTATATACAGCACACACAAATATATTATGTAAACACAGACTTTTATTTTGGATGCGATTAATCGCAATTAACTTTTGCACAGCCCTAATTAAAACATATTTTTCTTAAATATATACATGCATGTGTGGGTATTTATATATACAAATTAATTATAAACACAGATATATTTTGTAAACAGAAACTTTTATTTTGGATGCGATTAATCGTTGCTCATCCCTACCCAAAAACACGAATTTGTGAAAATGGGTGACATCGTGCGCATCCGTTACGTGTTTAGTCTATAGACTAGTGTCCTATTCATTTATTGTCAAATAAATGTTTTGATTGTTATCTTTTTGGATGTCATGTCATTGTTGTATGTTATGTCTAATGTCTACAATAAGTTTTGTTTCTTTATAAAGTGACATCGCCAACTACTGGCCTGGCAGCAGAATACAGCGCTTTTAATCATTTTCATGGATTCGTGAATGTGAACGGGGATCGTTGACAGTGTTGTCTGCAAGCCAAAAAAACAAGGAAAAACATTTAAGTATGTTACTTAAATATATTATAGTAATATAAATTACTTGTACACCAATTCATTCTGTCTGTATTAGGGGTGTAACGATATTCGAACCAAAAAACTGCGATACAGAACTCACGATTCGAATCGCGATTAATAGCGACTACTTTTAGGTTAAAAGTAGTGTTGCTTTCGTCAACGAAAATTATGACTAAATATTGTCGTCAACGAACCTTTATCACGTGACGAAAAACGAGACGAGATGCAACGTAAATGCTGGTCGTGTGACGATGACTATAACGAAATGTATAATGCAATATCGTTGACGAATAAAAACGAGACTAAATGTGGTTTACAAAAATAAAAAGTAGGCTAAAATGTCTCTTCATTTTCGTTGACCAAAACGAGACGAGACAAAATGTTATTTAACGTTACTTCGTCTCGTTTAGCCTACTTGCATTATTATTATGCAGCATTTCCGTGTATTCTTGAGTCTATAAGGCAACAATAATATAAGAATATAATAAGAAGATAAGATTGTTTGAAATTAGGTTTGGCTAAAAGAAAATTTTGGTTTCGTCTATAGGCTAGCCTATACTAGGCAGTAGGGGTGGTTAATCTGTCTGATTTCCCGATTCGATTCGATTACGATTATTGAAGTCCCGATTCGATTACAGTCGATTTTCGATTATTAACGATTCTCGATTACCGATTATTGATTTTCCATTTCACAACAGTAAACGAAAATACACTAGATCAACATATGATTATATTAGCAGCAGCAACATTTTGGTATTAATTGCACTTTTTATTTGTTTGATATTCATTGAAAATATAATGATGGTTAGTGGGGACATGCAAACATGCTTGTTATCTACTACTTAGGCAACTCATTATCTTTACATTTATTAACTTTACATTTTTTTTCAAAAGCAATTTTGTTGCATTATAATGCAAATGCACCTGGTTCTATTAATTGACAGCATTAAAATGTATTTTGTGATTTCCTTCAATTGAAAATGTTTGAAGCAAGTTTGGGGGACTTGAAGGGCACCCGATTCAGAGAATCACCTAGAAATTCAATAGAACAGCATTTATCTGAAATAGAAAGCTTTTGTAACATTAAACAATACCGTTCAAATGTTTGGAGTTGGTAAGAATTTTTATAAAATTTTTTGGGCAAAAGAAAAAAGAAATCTATACTTTTGTTCATCAAGGATAAATTAGGTTGATCAAAAGCTAAAGTACAAGACATTTATAATGTTACAAATCGATTATCTGAATCTTTTGTGTGACTATAAATAATTTGCTTTAAAAGTACAAATTATTGACCCATAAAGAATTAATGCACAATATATTTTATTAACATTACAAAGAACGACCAGGAAAATAAATGTGTGCTTGAACTAGCATACTTGTAGTAAATAAATAATATAACGACTGGTGCAGCCGAGTGTTTTTCCTCCTCTGGCTGGAAAGGTGTCATATGGCTTATCATATTTGTCGTGTTTCCGTCGTTGGTTTTATTCCACAAAGCGTACAACTAGTGCGGCTCTTGTCCAGCTCCTTTCCCCCTTCAACTTCAGAAGCCAAAATATTTCCACACGTCAGCTTTTAACCTAACAAGGAAAGTGTTTGGATCTCGCGTTCCATCGGGTCTCTGTTATGTGCACGCCACAGACGGTCCCGCCACTGCACTTCCGCGCTTCAGAGTTCCGTCTTTCGCGTTCCGTCAATATTACGTTATTATAAATACATATCAAAAAAAAAAAATTTTTGAAATCGATTTTTTGACATTTGTGAATCGATTCAGGATCGTCCACGTCCGCATCGCGATGCATCGAGAATCGATTTTTTTCCCCACCCCTACTGGCAGGCTACTTATATGTTGAGTGGGTTAAATAGAATTGCATATTAAAAAGAGACTAAAATACAATTTTCATCGACTAAAACTAGACCATGTTTTTCGTTGACTAAAACTAGAGTAAAATGTCATCAGTTCTCGTCGACTAGAACTAGACTAGACTAAAAAGAGTATGAACGTGGCTAAAACTAATAAAAACTAAAATGTCAGCTTGACACAAAGAGTAGACTAAAACTAAAATTAAAACAGGCCGCCAAAAACAACACTAGTTAAAAGTCTAGGCTACAACCTTTAATGTTATAGTAATGTGCGGCTCCCTATATAGTTTACAGCATTAGCATATTTTTTTTTATCCTTGTCGAACGTTTAATTGTAATTGAATTAATTGTAAATAAACCACTGTTAAAAAACAAAAAGCAATTTTAGCTTTCTAAACAGAACCGGACCGAGACATCAAAACCGTGGGAAAACCGAACAGTCAGTTTTGTGTATCGTCACACCCCTAGTTTTTATACACATATAAAGTGCCTCAAGTAAAGACTGCAAAACAATTTCATTATAACGCATCTTATTAATAGATGGAGAAAATCTGGTTGTATGGCCAGACAAAATATACAGCTTTTAAACCGGCACTCAAATTTGTTTATTTATTTATTTATTTATTTTTAAGTCTGAATAAAAATGTGAAAGGAATCTGATGTTTACAAACCCAATCCAAACCACATCCACATGTGAAAAATGACAATGCGAAAACCAAATTGGATGTGTGCCGTGTAAACAAAACCTAAGACTGTCAAACATGACAAAGACCATGTATGGCCGCAGAACAAAGCGCTCAAAACAAGACATTTTGCCAGTTTCAAGTTCTATTTATACTGCATCCTGATTTGTAGCTCCTCCCACTGTAAAATCTCATTGGTCCAAAGCCACAGTTGCAATTTTTTCTGTCCTCATGGATGTAGTCACCAGTGATCAGAACACTTGTTTGATGCTGGACATCCATAACATCGTTTCAAATCCTTATAGTTAGTAGAAAAAGATTGAAAAGAAGGCTGATTCTTACCTGGCTCAGAGTCTGAATTACCAGTTGGAGATTGGCATAAACTTGAGGGCATAAAGATATTATTCTTGGGAACTGTAGAAGGAGGGAGAGCAAGCAGTTTTCAGTTCAATTCAGCCAAATAATACTTGTTCAAAGGGAACAGTGTCGATCCACTTCAGTGAGATCGTTGTAGATTTACCTGAATGTGATGGGGGGAACTGGGTCAAAGATGACGTCCTCTCTCTCTTTACTGGGGGACAGTATTCGACATCATCCCGATCTGAATCTGAAGAACACAATTCAAATCAATAAACCAAACAGAAACTAAAACTATTGAAGCACTCGAATTCAGTACACAGTGCTGAGAACCGAAAATTCATTTTACATTAATATTTGTGGAATAACTGCAAAATTTCTTTTATAACTTTATTTAGAATTGGTAACAACTTTTTTTTTAAATATTTAATTAAGTGCTGCACCCTTTTCTTGTGATTAATCATGATATTTCACACAATTATGAAATTACCAAGTAACGTTGAAGAGTAAGGCTGAGTAACATTGTAGTAGCGCCCTAGTTTAAATAAAAATCTGTTATCAGTGTTAAATGCACTATTAACTTTAAATTCAGACAATGACCTCCAAATAACTCTCATACTAATGTTTGGATGATACAAGCACATCTGCATCCTACAATATATTTCATGTGACATTGTGTTAGTGTCTTACTGTCTGCGTCCCATCACATTTCATATACAAGTTATTTTCCAGCAAAACATCATCAGGCGGTGTTTACATGAAATATTAAAAACCTGAATCATTTCATGTGCATGCTGTTTATGTTTCTGTTATCAACTGTTGGACGTTTTTTTTATGCATTTTCTATTTCATCAGAATAACAAAAATGTCATTTTATGATATTTTTGGAGACTGAAATTATAGTGCATTAAAGTCAAAAATAAAAAAGAAGACAATTTACAGAATCAATAAAAAAATTGACAGAGCAAAAGCAGATTGCATGTGAAATTATCCAGGTTTAAAAGAGTGCAACACAATATTGCAGACAAGGGTTATTATAGTGTTAACTTAAACTAATGTCATTTAGTTTAACTTGATGTACAAAAACAACTAATATAAAAATGAAATAAATTAATAAAAACTATATAGACAAAAAATGTTAAACATGTAGGGCTGTTCGATTATTGCAGCAATGATAATCATGATTAAAAAAAGTTATTTTACAATATTATTATTTATTTCACAATATGAGTAATTTTAAATATCAGTGAAATTTCACAATTATACTTACTAATACTAGGTTAACTAATGTAAGAAGAAGGATTACATAACACAAGAAAACAGTCACAAAAAAAACGAATAGGAAAAAAAACGTACAAATAAATACGACGAAACGAAATAGAACGAAAATACAAATGAAATACAGTTTTTCAGGATGTACTATTCAGATAATAGCTTAAAACGACCAAAAAAACTGAATAAATATAAAAACACTGCATAGTCTTACTAAATACATTAAATATAGATTATTTCTTATTAAAGATACTAAAGTTATTCAGTCAAGAACAGTCAGTGTGTGATTTTCCTGTTATTTGTTTATCATTAATGACAGACGACAGCAGGTTTATTAGGCTGCTGTCACTTTAAGAGCGAATGCGCGGATCCAATATACTGTTACACAACCATATTCTTTCTCAACTTACGCGTTTACTTAAGACATAACCCACAGTGTTTTTGTGAACTCTCCAAAAAGGCATTTTAACATTTTTGTTTGTAGGCGCGCATCCTCTGACTCGGATCGCTCACACAGAAAGCCTCTTTTGAGGCTTAATTCACTTTTAATAGCACTGTTTAATATCAAACACGTCAGAGTTTAGCAACAATAGGCTGCATTTTAAAAGTTAACACTCACTTATTTGGATGTTAAGTTGAAATGAAGGATGTTAAGTTGAATGAAAACGAACTGCTGTGAAGGAAAGGAAAGGAAATGCGGCAGCGGCACAATAATCGTTTTACCTCGACTATTATTTTTTCATAATCGTTGGAAACCGGAATCGAAAATCAATTACGATTAATCACACAGCACTAAAACATATACAAATAAATTACTAACACATTAAAATTTAATTGAAATCATAATAGTATCTCTATGATACTAAAGTAACACTGTTGCAGTCTATATGCAAATGTATGCTCCATGCATTTTATATAGACAGCAAGAGTCATGAAATATGAAACATGAAATATATTGTATGGCACAAACGTGCAAAAGAAAAAGTTTCAAATAAAAAAAAATGTTGTTTAAAGTTAATTTTTCAAGCAAGATTTTCATTTGGTGCATCACTAGAATCTGAAAGAAAACTTGAACTCACCGTCTCCGTCCTCTGCACTCGACCCATCGGCGGATCTCTGGAACAGACAAAAATAATAAATTAATCTGATCACGCAGAGCTGAACTATATCACAGAGAAACACACTGTACAGTGGAAAACACAATCCAATTTGTTTTAATTATTTCTCACCAGGCCCAAAACCATCCCGTTGAAATGTGGAGTTTGTTTAATTTGCTTAAAAAGCGTCGGGGAAATCATGTTTTTTGCATCGTGTTAGTCATACGGCGGCTGAAATTCATCTCACTACCAGCCAAACTGGCCAGATGACTAGGTGAAATTTACTTGCCAATGCTGAAATTTGGCAGGTACCAGATGCTAATTTCAGTGTTTATTGAAAAATGTCTACTTTGTTATTGCAATAAAACTCAAAGCTAAATTAAATACTTCCCACTAAGTGTATTCCAGCATAACATCCTCAGGCTATTATGGAAAGTGTGTTCAACTACTAAAAACGTCATGGTTGAGCTGCAGAGTTCTGGGAAGAATTGAAAACCACAATCTATTTTTTAAATATAGATATTTCACGATTCTGAACAGACAACTAAACAAAATAACATGCAACTAACTACAGTTTCTGATAAAATGATAATTGCTGCAAAAAGTTCTGAATCTAAAAATCTGAACTATTTTGATTCAAATGATTCAATGACTCACTCATAATGAATAAGCCTAACTTGTTTCATTTAACAAATCTATTGAATGAATGAATGAAATATGTAATGTTCAATCATTTTCAAAAAGGCGATTTAGATCACTTCCGTAGACGATAGTTTTTATATTCGAACTATAAACTTTATTCCAGTACTTCCGTGATAATATGAGTATATGTAACAGAAATTATGATACAATGTGGTTGAAAAGACTGTTTGTGTTTACATGAAACTGCTTTCAGAGCAAACCAACCTTCTGTGCTTTGTCCTTCTGAAATACAAACACTGGAGGAGCTATGGCAGGCTTCTCTGTAAAGAAACAAAACAGAAAGAAAATTAGTTTATCTATGAATTAGTTCATTTCAAGCCCAAATTTTATTTAAACAAGCAAGAAAACAGGTCAGCTACGATGTACCAATGTTACATTTCAGATCGATCCAAGTTTCCCTACAAAAAAATATCCAAAGTCATGCAAGATAATCATTCACATTTCACAAAATAGGTCATTTCCTAAAATGGTTTGTTTGAGGATTGGCCATGAAACGAACTGACGGACCAATAGCATCCAAAGCAAATGTTGTTCGTGATGTAATATCTTAGTTAAACTGCATGAGCACTTTTGGACACTCGAACCACAAGCAAATTTCAGATCATTGACATCAGACTTAACCATGCTCACTAGCTCAATTTTGGGCCCAATTCCATTACATTTTTAAAACAGTAATATCCTACCGGTAATTTTGTACAAACTATATCACTTGAAAGCATACAATCTCTAGTTTCCATATGTGGTGATTGATTTTCAAAATAAACAGAGGAGCCATAACTTATCAATTTGCAACAAGAATATTTTCATACTCCTAAGGCGTGTTCAGACCTTTATTTTGAAATAGTGATGAACATGAAAGAAGGGTAGAAACCTCAGTTTGTTTTCATGTCAAGAGTTCAAAAGACAGCATCCATTTCATTAATTTACAAAAAAAAAAGGTCTGATTTTTTTTTTTAAATATAAAGAAAAAAAAAATCAACATTTGTGATGTGGCAGCAAGATATAACGCACATACTTGTTCTTTTTTATGTTTTTTAGAGGTTGAATTCAAATCAAAATCTGGCAAACTTCTCATATTACTTCTGAATAGGATGTCTACATCATAAATTGTGTGAAAATTGTGGAAATAATGGTTCATATCACTCAAACACATGTGGAGATGGCGGCCCCTTATATGGGCAGTGATGGAGTCTGGTTGCGCCCTAGTGGAAGCGTTCAGTACTGCAGACACACACACTCTCACTCAAAGCTCATTTACTGAGATATCAATTTAAAATTTGAAACACAACTTGTTCAGATTTTGGGCTTTGATTTTTTTGCAGTTTTAAAAAATATAAAAATGTATAAAATATTAATAATTAAATGTTTTACATTGTACATTTTCATAATCTCAAACGTCTATAACTTTTTTTTTCCGTTTCACTTTCTTAATTTATTTCACTTCTACAAAAATCTGCCAAATGTCTTCTTTAAAACAAAACCAATCTTACGTCTAAATGCCAAAGCATTCTTGAATTACAACCATTTAAGTTCAAAATGTGCATTTTCATGTATATTCAAAAAAGGTGGGTGACACTTAACAGGATAAGTTATAGTTTGCCATTGTGTTAAAAAGCAATCAAATTTAATAAAAATAAACTGAGAACTTTATCAATAAACCACTGGATGCTATTTAATGCAGATTTTTTACCATGGTTAAGGAGGTTTGAGGCATTCGTGTTGCATCATGCATAAATACACTCCTTACCCATGATAACATCACTGTAGCATACGGCATCCAGTAGCTTATCGTTTTTTGCAAAAAAAAACAGCAACATTTATTAACCTATTATAGCACATTTAATCAATTAAGAACGTGATGAAAGAAAAACAATGCCTGTTGTGGAGCAGAAAACCACTTTGAAGTGATGAATGCAAGAGTCACCAGATGCTAATATGATCGTTATATGTTTTAAGATATGGGTGATTCAAATATTTAAGCAATTACTCAATATTTAAGTAAATGCCAACCAAGGTTATGGGTTTAATTCCATGACGTAATACAAATGTATAAATTCACTGCAATGCAAGTCACTTTGGAAAAAAGCATCTGCAAAATGCATAAAAGTAAATGTTAATGAAAAAGTCATATCAATCGACCACTTTCTTTGAACCGCAACCTGTAGTATGTTCTTGTATTACAAGCCTCTGGGTGATCTGATCAGCAGGACTTGGTAACCAGCCACAGCGAGCCATACAGTCTCTAGCCAATGTTGTCAAAGAAGCTCTTATATCTTATCTCATTTCAAAGCCAACCATTACCAATAAAACCCCAGACACTTCTGGCTCATTCAAAGGGCTTTAAAATGATCGTCATGCTTCGTAAATAAACAGAGGCACATGATCAGGCTGACACGGTCTGATATTTTTAGCAACAGCACGTTGACAGCAACAAAACTGGAGGGTAATAAAACAAATATTTGTAAGGAAGAGACAGTATAAGGCCTGTCGGAGATGATTTGCAAACCACAAACGTGAGCAATATATCCAAACACACGTGCTGCCTTTCCCACAACAAATGGCTCACTGTAAGTAAACCCATGCACATCACTGTAATTGGGTCAGGGGGTGAGGAATCCACCGATAGGTGATCTCACCACTCGAGGACACTAGAGTCCTAGAGGGGCTAAATCATGTGTGCATGGGGTTGCATTTCACCCCGGGGCAGGAGAAGGGTGGGCGGGCCTGCATTAGCACAGACAGCGGAGTCCGGTAACGCCACTAGCCGCATGAGCAGCACCGACAGGCGGCTTGACCGTGAACGAACCACCGCCACTTGCTGCAAACTCCGTTTCCCGACTAATAATCGATGCATTTATCAGAATAACGTCCGAAAATGCTTGTGCATAATTCATTTCATATTTAAACAAACCACGGGATGAGCAACTCACTAACGTTACCCCACCCAGCAGACATTTGCTTTCGTTTCTGATTCTGAATTTGGACTCTCAAGGAAGGATAAATAATGAATTATCACTTAACAAACGGGGACAGACGTACAAAGCACGATTAGAATAGCTGCAAGCAAAATGCATACTAATATTGTCAGTTTAAAAAGATGCCATAATTATGCATAGATAACTGGGGACGTATATGCCACATATTTGTGATACTAAATATGATTTTATATATCACGTGCACATAAAAAAGCGTCATTCGTTAAACCTTTATTATTATACATTGCATTATGCATTATTTTAGAGCGTGCACGCGTACGTGTTGCACGCGAGAGCATCGGGGTGAGGCGCGTGCGTTTCCACCCGCCTAAAAATCAAAAAGAGAAACACAGCGAGAGGCCGGGGGTTCGTCTGTTAGCTACACAACACACTAACTCGCATACACACAGTTCTGTCAGTGCGCTGTTTAGCCTGCGAAGCTAACACACTCATCGGCTAACTTGAGCTAAACATCCACACACACTCCCACTCAGAGCAGCTAATGCGCACAGAACGCGCCATAAATCCATGTGGAAGTCTAACCAACACTATTATGGTGTGTACGGCTCATGGTGGCGGTTTATTTGCTTTATTTTGCTCATTTTGCGGATTCACACGGTTGCCTACCTTCGTTCGCCAAGTCCGCCATTTTACTTCTCCGTGCACACCCACAATGCACCGCGGCACTAGTGCGCTTTTATTTCACAGAGCAGCTGCACTTGAAATGCATTTACATTTGAAGATTAGTCCATTTATATGACATTTTACAATATTATGTATTAGTATTGGCTATGTATATTTTTTAACTAATATTGCAAGGAAAATAAAGCTCTATAATGTTAATATTTATTATAATATCTAGGCTAGTAAATAATCTCTGTAATAGTAGATATTATTTTACTGTTTGTAAATCGTTTTCTTGTTGCCTGTAGAAAGAAAAATATATATATTGTAAAAACGATTATCTTATGTTACATATTGCAATAATTATTATTATGACATAGATATTAACCACTGAACCTATTTTAATATCGTTAGCCTATTTCCCTTTATGTGTTGTATCTACTAACAATAGCCTATTTATTACTATTATAAAAATATTATTTTTATAATACTAATTATCATTTGGAGGCTATTCGTTAAAAATCACCACATTCTGACTACTTTGTTTTGTTGCTGATCTCTAACAAAAAATAATTAATTTTATTAAACGATTGTCTAATGTTAACTTACAAGGCGTAATTATTTATTCTATTATTTGTCACTGTTATTTGTTGTTATTTATTTTTCGCTCCTTAATATATAATATAATAAATAGTATAATGATGATTAATTGCTTAAATCGAATGCTAAAATTAATTTATAAATATATATACATACACACACATCCTAAATTAAATTCATTTTTTTTATTATAAACCTAGCCTATAATTTTTATATTTCATTTTACATTTTTTTTATTCCAATATATTTTTGTATTATTTTATTCCTGTGTATTGTGGTAATCAATATGACCACTAGATGGCCAAGTTGGTCAAGGCTGCAGTTTGGAGGAGATGGAGTTGATGGTTGGCCTGAACTTCACCTTGTATTTAGACTTAAAGTATAATTTTAAATTATGTGAAATAATTTTTTTATATATATAAAATATGCAATAAGCTGCAATGTTTCAGGATCAGTCCTGAGTCCCAGTAAGAGTAACTGGAAAGTTCTGATTAGCCTATTGTTAGTCAAGACAAACCAAGACCAGACCTCCACAAATTCACCAAAAAAATCCACATTTACTGCTAGAGAAATGTGTTATATAATAAAAAAAAGAAAAAAAAAGTTAAGTACAATCCCCTTGGATGTTAAAGTCATTTTAACTTTTACTGACTTAAAAAAATAAGTTGAATCTTGTATAAATTAGGAAATTATGAGTTAAAGAAATGTAAAAACGTGAACAATGACAACATACAGTAGATTTTTAACCAATAGGCTACAATCACAATTATAAAACACTGCAATCAATAACAACAAAATTCATCTTTGTGTTGCATCAAATTACAGCTGCATAAATAATGTTTAAAAAATAAACCATTTGTATAAACTCATATCACATTTGCAGTCGTGTTCATTTGTGAAAACGGCTCTCTTGCTTAATTATGATCATATAATGAAAAAAAAAAAAACAAGATCTTATACAAGTAGGCCTTCGAATATTGTGAAGTCTTTGCCACAATCCCTTGATTTCTGCCCCACCACTAACAAAAGAAACTAAATTAGAAGTGAGTTACTGATTGCAAGAAGTTTTATATCCGACCACATTAATGATATTAACAAATAAATCAGACAATGACAATAGTGATAGTGAAATCCTCACAGTGTAAAATCCGGAGTCCTCTTAGTTTGAGACTGAGATGACAAACAAGAGATCTCAAGACCGGTCTCAAATAAGTTCTGGCATCTTGGCATACAATTAAACGGCAAGCAACCTTTCCCTTTTATTAAGCTCCAGTATTTATGAAAGGAGAAAGTTCGATATATTCTTTCAAAATGTGTATAAACATCCCTCAGGCAAAACCCTTGTCATCACATGCAACCAGACCTCCCGACAGATGAAGATGAATGCGAGTGATTATTTAGTAAAAAAAAAAAAAAAAAAAAAGTTAATCTTGATTGAAAGATTTAGATTCCTCTAAAGGATAAACGGGTAAATTAAAGGGCATCGTGTGTATAAACAGGTGTTTTTCATTTTCATTGTATTCCAAATAGTAGGATACACAAAAATTATAAAGAGGGATTTGTTCATGTATTTGACCATTAACCCATTGTGTGTACAGCGTATAAATTACACGAGTCAGTTCAGGATTTTGGACATTGGGCCTCATTAGGCTGTGTGTTATTTATCATTGGAGACAGTTTTCAAAAAATATCGTCCAGTCGTTCCAGTTGAATAGTTCGCCGGTGCTAGGCTAGCGCGAGTCAATGCTAACTGCTAGCCTGCCATTGTGAGAAAATAGTGTGCAACTCTCATTGGATGAATTCACATAGGCCTACTGATTTCTGCAGATGAGCCACAGTTTTCTGTGACTTCACATTTTTTTTATGCAGGTGTGTAAGTTTGTTTTGCACCATATTCACTGCAGCAACTGTAGCAAAAATGTGAGTGTATGCTACGAGTTTCTTCATGTGTGATTTGTAGTGCACGTGCAATGAAGAATTTGAGAACTGTTGTGTTGTGTTTGTGGAAGATAAAAAAAAGTCTACAAGTTTGCAACTCTTAAAACATTTCTCTCTGTGACTTCAAATTTACTGATACACATGTGTGCTACAACTAGCTACACACTCCACTGTCACAGTCAGGCCTTCAGAAGTATTGCACCAAATATATACCCTCATACATAACTTCAGCACTCTATTACAGTGAGACCATAAACAAAAGATCTCAGATAATTCAAGATTAGATTTGACGTACTGGGTCATGAGCTCAATATAAGGAACAGCTTGTGTAAAAGGATGTGTAATGGCTAATAAATAGTCAATTGTGCAAGACAAGAGATATACATGTAGAGTAACACTTTCACCATTGATAGCTTGTGTGAAATGATACAGGGGATCTCCAAACTCTCTCACACAAAAAAAAACACAATTTATTTCCTTGTTCTATACAAGTACACACTGCTAGGCCAAAAGAAGAAGAAGAAGAAGAAAAACACAATTATTATGTTTCTATCTTAATAATTGCTTTGCTTTTGGCTTGCTTAGTTGGGGTTATTTAATATTTAATATTTAACAATATTATTGATCTGTATTGTTCTACTTTCATGTTATCACTGTGAAGCTGCTTTGATACAATCTGTATTGTGAAAAGCGCTATATAAATAAATGTGACTTGACTTGACTTGACTTATCATGTTATATGTTTGGCAACAGTTCTTCTAACCCTAAAATGCTGGGTTGTTTTAACCAAATTTTGGGTAAAATCTGCACAAACCCAAATGTTGGGTTACATTTTTAAATTACATTTTTAACCCAATGTTTGAGTTTGTCCATATTTGACCCAAAATTGGGTTAAAACAACCCAGTGTATAGCTTAAAGTGTATAGCTTAAAGACGCATCATGGCCATATTCCATTATGACAATGTCAAGATTTATCAGGCTCAGATGAAAGAATGGTTGTGAGGGAACATTAAGAATTGGCACATGAATTTTTGGTTGTCAATGCAAGAGTCCAGACTCTGTAAAGTCTCCTCCGAGACATCCCGAAGACTTGCAATGAACTGAACGGACTCAGAGGAGCCGATTCATGAGTGGAAATAATTCTAATTCTATTGATTAGATAAAGCACACTCTTAGAAGAAATGGTTCTATTTAGAACCAGAAATGGTTCCATCCCCCGCTTCATATATGGATGCATTTTTTTGGGGGGGGGGTAAAAGGTTCTATTGGCCAAGTATGGAACCCCAGGGTTCTATATAACCCAGAGGAACCAACACTCTCTCACGACCAATTCGTACGAATGGGCTCTATGCACGGCGTTATTTCCGGTGAAGGATTAAGGATGCTCGATAACTTCCACCGATCATAGAGTCCAATGCAATAGCGAGAATTTATATTGAATTTTATACTCCATGGTTATAATAAAGAAACGTTAGTCACAAAAACAGATAAAACAGACACCCCTCGTTGTGTTTATGCTTCTTTTTAAAATTATATTAAATAAACATAACTGTATATAAAATTACATCTAAACGTATGTACGTTTCGTTTCAAAGACGGGAGGACAGTAAATATTGAAGATTTTGCCATAATCCCGTTTTCTCCGGTTTTCCTCCGCTTTAATCTACACAACCGGAAATGGACGAGCATCCTTACGTCAAATGCGGAACTTCGACGCATGATTAAAAAGTGGCTAATTCATACGACCTCACTCGTACTAATACGTACGATTTGTCTAAACCCACGTGCAGGTTAGGTTTAGGTGCGGGGTAAGGGGTAAGGGGTAGGTCATTCGTACGAATTCATACGAATTGGCCAATTCGTAAAATATGTACGATTTAGCAAAATCGTATTAATTCGTACGAGTGAGGTCGTATGAATTGTTACGAATTTTTTCCACTTTCTTGCCACTTTTTAATCATTCGTTGAATTCGTACGACTTGGTTGTGAGATCGGGTTGGAGGAACCCTTTTTTTAGAGTGTATGGGTTCCAAATATTATATAGAACCTTTTCTTCTAAGAGTGCACATTCATTTTTACAGTGAATAATATGAAAATCAACCCAGTAATGATCCAATCATAGACTGAAGAGAAGTATTTGCCTGTTTAACAGCATTTTTTGTTTGGCCAGAGAGTGTATAGCCTATGGTATTTAAGATTTGCAAGACAGATATTTAAATGAAGGCTTTTATTTTATCTCACAGATAATTGATTGTTTCCCAAGTGAGCTTGTTGTTCTTGCCTTTCAGGCTTCATATCTGAGCTGATTATGTATCAAATAACTACTTTAAGTGAGACATCGAAAGACATTAATGTCACAGTATGCACACATCTGTGGTTTTCTGACAGATATTTGACACACACACACACACACACACACACACACACACACACACACACACACACACACACACACACACACACACACACACACACACACACACACACACACACACACACACATATATCAGG